ATTAATAAATTAATTAAAGTGAAATATGTTTTCAATTTGCTTCTCCCGCCTCCGAAGAAACAGCGGGCCCTAACAGAGCTAATTTGGGGGATCGATTAGCGTGAAAACCACCCCTTCCCCCTGAAACATTACGACGGAGGGTCCTTTACTTTGTATATTTAATTTGTAGAATGTTGCTTCAACGCAAAATAGAGCTCATAGTATTGTTTAGTAATGGTGTTCAAAAGATATTTCAATCATGTACCCTTATCATATAACGCACGGTTATATTCGGCTGAGATCTTTGAAAAAACCCATGAAGTATTTTACCTATCTCTCGCCGTCTGTAATTACTGTGTTTGACCAGACCCCTTTTGGGATTATTACGAAGAATAAAATGTTATCAGAATCACCCGGATCTTTATCGGCCATATCGGCGAATTTTAAAAGAGTGCCCGTATTATATTATCATTTTTTTTACAAAGTACGTTCACTCTAGCACGTTCCAAACCGTACAAAAAGGCTACTTTTTATATCATGCATGAAATACCGCATGGAACTGCCGGAAACGTTTATAACACGCGCGCGCAAAAAATTTAATTTATGATCATGACCTGATCGTGGCTGTAGGTGAAAATTGCTGCCGCTATTATTGCGCTGTAATCGGAAAAAATTTTCACGACGTAACCCTGTTCTCATCTAAAAAGTGTTACTGGAAATTATCTTCTAACTGCATCTAAAAGAATTGCGTGATGATATGATTGAATCTTTACTTGATTACGACGTTCATATTGAATACGAAAAACATTGAATGTGGTTCAGTGTTTCCCACCTTTTTTTCAGCTGCTTTTAAACTTTATTTCAAACAGTGCCTGTTGTAGTCCGACAGTTAACGTGAGAGACATCAAAAAATGTTTTCCTTAAAATGTCTGTCTGTTTTGCGCGCAACATGTACATATTTGTCTGATATTTAAAAGAACACTCTCTACAGTAGTGTATATGCAGTACACGCTTATTTTTTTTAGCCGAGCTGGGTTATGACTCATGTTGGTTTTAGAACTGAATGCACTTATTCCTTAGCTATAGAGACTATTTAAAAAGAATCGACTACGCCTTTGTGGGCCCACGCTTTCTAGTCGACATTCCCTTGATACAGCTTTCTTGCTACAAATCAAGCAAATAAATCTGTTTATTGTCACGGTTATCTATGCTTCGTTCTGTAGATGGGGCCAAATTAGTGTCTAATCTCTGATTCAAATGAGAGTAATAAAGTTGAGCTGCGAAAGCCGAGCTAGAGCGATAAAAATGTCCGCGACGCTTAAAACCCGAGTGCTAACCGCAAGGGACTTTGACAAAGTCCACTGTTATTATTACTTAGTAGGTGGTTCAATTTTTAAGTCTGTTAATCAGAAACTCTTTAATTTAAGGCCATTTGTATATGTCTAGTAACAGTAGAAGGACTTGCTAAATCCTAGTACTGCCTTTTGAGGTTTGAATTTTGGCATAATCAAATGGAATTTCGGCTAGCTTGGGTATTTCACAAATTCTGACATTTTTGGAGACAGCGAAAGAGTATTAAAATAGGAGCAGGATGGGTGTGATAGCCTCCTTCGCATTCTTAGGGTTCTTTGGGTGAGTGAGTCGTAAGAGATTCAGCGTAGGATACTGGGGGTGTGTCCGTGACGACCATGCATCGCCCTGGCCTATATTCCGCTGTAACCCACTGGAAAACAAATTTGAAAATCTGTTGTGCCTATGACTCCGATCATTCACCGCGGGAGCCGACGGGACTGGTCAGGGATATTTGTTCAAGGAGTTGTTTAGTTCGTTCCGGTCTGACTTAAGCTCCTCTTTTTGGCACTTAGAAAAAAAAAATTCAAAATTAAAACAAATGAGGACAAAGATATAGTAACTGTTTATATCTAAGTATATTTTTAGTGTTTCTTACTTACCCTATTGTCAAATTGTAGTTACCTTTATTTGGGAGGTTTCATTTAAAACCGAAAAAAATCTCAAAAATAAAAATATTTTGTGACATCAATGTTTTGTAACTGCTGCACGAGACTTACCCACGAACTAAGCGTTTGTGACGAAACTTTTGCACGCGCTTGCCGTGAGCTGCGCTTTACTGTTTTACACTGTGGACACAAAATCTTTGCTAAGTGCTAAGTTATTGAATCTAATAATCAAGAAATGAAGAATAACGGTGGAATTACTCAGCTGGCTGAGTAACAATTCTTTTTTCAATGGACTGTCCCTTACTCTTAAGACCGGAAGTTAAAGTTAAAAAAAAGACCGCGAAAGAGAAAGCCCTCCCGGCTGATTTGGCTGCCGCTTACGCCAGTTACCACAATAACATGGTAGAGCAAAGGAAACTTGAACATAAGCTGCAAATCATCGATGTAGAAACCAAACAAATGAAACGCAATTTTCGACAGCAGAGAGAAGTACTCGAGAAAGAAATGAAGAAAACCGAAAGCGATTACTGGAATTGTCATCGGGTGTTCTCTGCTGACAGTCTGATAACAGAATCCGATTCTTACAGAAAGCGCTTCTACACGGGACCTCAGCCTACCAAGGCAAAGCTTCCTCGCCGTACACTTGAGAGATTGAGTCAACTGGTGCGAAGTCTACAAGCTGTAGATGACTTGGAAACTCTTTCGAGATTTCAACGATGCGCGCGTTATGCGCGCAGAAAGACGCCCGCGGACGACCACGAGTCTGTCTCTAGTTTGACTCTGTCTCAAGAAGACAGTTGTGTGTTTGATCCCTGGGAGCAACAACATCTTACCGAGATGCTGAACGAATGCTCAACAGACAAAGCTGGTAGATTAGGAAGCAATACTTCAATTAAAGAAAAAAGAATTCGTTCAGCGCCAGTAAGGGTCGCATCCCGAACGGGAGCACCGGGAGAGTACAAGGAAAGGAAACCTAGTGCAGGCCCACGACAATATGCTCCGGAGAAGTTGGAACTTGACATTTCTCAAAATTCAGCTTCATACGCCGAGAAAAGCAAGGGGATGACCCACTCTGGTGGTAGGGAGAAGGCGTCAGTAAAGTTTGCATGGACAGAGAAAGAAACAACAGATACCACAGTCGATGACGCAATTGATACTTGTCTGTCCAATGCAACGCTTAAAGAGCCGTCAAGTGACATTGATCTGATACAAACTTCGCCGGAGCATGAGACATCACACAGCAGTGGGCACCAATCTTGTAATGCCAATTTGCCTTTGACTTCATCTCAGTGTGGAATATCGCGAGGAAACAGTGATACGGTCTCATCTCATCAAAATCTACTACGAGGTGAAACCAGCTTTGTACAAGTGCAGCCAAAGGAAGCTAAAATCACCGAACCAGACAATCATGGCTCTAAATTTTCTACTGCCTGCCAAGATCAAGCTTATGTAGAGAGCCCAATGATGGAAAATCAAAGAGAAGGAGATGAGAATTTGAAATATGATTCGATTAGTGCTAAGGACGCGACCACACCTAATAATGGTTGGGATCTGATCAGAATTGCCTACTTGGACAACAAAATTAAGTCATCGATGCCAAATTCCTGGGATACGTTGAAAAACGAAGATTTTGCGCGCATAATAGAAGAAAGAGGTAAAGGGCGTGATGTTCCCCCGCCAGAATCGGAAGGCGAATGTTCTTTTAGGAAGCATGTGGCCTCTCAGCGCACCACTAACGAAGCAAAACACTTAACGCAGCGTAAAAGAGGCGACAGAGACGCTGAAGTGACAGGGAATAACTTACATGGTGCAGCGTTATATAGTAATGGAGGAGCAAAAACAAAAAGCGGCAGAAAGATAAGTGTTGCGTTACCAAAAAGTAGTTTACATGGATTATCAAGTTGTCGAAAGTCGCTCACACCGAGAACTCAGCATAAGCCTCTGCAGAGGCATCATCGCGCTTCGATAAAGGCAGAGGACAAGCAAGAGGTCAGAAACAATTACGTTATTTTTCATGCAAAAATGTTACCTAACAGTGCTGACGAAAGGCCAGAAAAAGAGAAGCAGGCTAAAGATGCTCACAGAAAGAAGAGGCTGTCCATATTTAAGCGCGGCTGTCTTTCTGACACTCTGTTCAGTGAACAAACCCAAGTAGAAAGTCAACTGAGGAATCGCGTGCAGGGTTTTTTGGGGGCAATTCACAACGTGGATGAGACCAGCGAGAAAGGGACTGGTGAGGAAGAGTTACAATGACGTCAGATGGAATTATTTGTTTGTACATTTTAAGTTTATGAGGAAAAGCAACTGTTACACTATAGTGCACGTACCATAATAAAGTGCGATTTACCTAGAAAGGAATTTGCAATTTGTTTTCCAGTCATCTTTGTCAAGTTTACTTTTAGACCTTTTAGATCTGTCCAAGACCGAGAATTATGATTGGCTCCCTGAGTGGTCCGAATTTCGCAATAAGCACTGCTAAGATGATCGCTTTGAAGTCAATTTCGGGAAAATTATTTTTCAAAACATTGCACTAAGAAAACATTTACATGTATGACATTTCCTAAGTAGAAATCGTTTTTCCTTCATGTTTGGCGGCCAATGTAAGGTTAACCAATCTGTTCTAACAAGGGCTCTCTCTCATGGGCAACTAGCCGAGTAGGAGGTTATTTTTTAAAGTAAGAACCCTACTATTTTGATAAGCCCCCTTCTCAAACAAACGCCCCTCCCATTCAGATAGTTGTTTATATCTTCCGACATCATTGTTGGCACCCAGCCATAGCGACAAACCGTTTTCACGCGGATTTTTTCTTGCCTTGATTTGAGGTGTAAACTAGGTACACAGCAAGATTATGGTACCTTTTAAAGGTTCCATCCAAAATTTCTAGCAATAGCCGCCTCGACCATGTTTTCCCGCGGAGAAAGAATGAAAGATTGAAAGACAAACTAGAGAAATTTCGATCAGCTCAAGCCGTCACTCTAAGGTCAGCGGAAAATTACATAATTTATGCGCGCGAGCAGACACCAGCTCCATGGCAACAACTCCCGCTCAAACTTCAGAAAATGGCAGTGCAATGTTTTTGTGATATAGATCGTACAAAAATTGCACAAATTCTGGAAAGTGAACGTATTTTAAATCGGTAATGATACATCAAAGGAAGGAAAAGTTATCCATTGAACGGAAAATTTTGTCACAATAATGCCTCAAGGAAAGCTTCGTGGAGGAGGGCTTCGCGGAGAAGTTCAATCCACTGTACGAGAGAGCTATGGAGGCAAAGCAGTTTCTTCTAACTTCAAAAGCCGTGTTGTTCATCCAAGAAATCCTAAACTTGTGAAAGGAAGTCCTGAAGATGACAAGGTAAATGCTAATCTTAAAGCGCTGTTAGGAATTTTGTCGTGGTATGATGGAAGTTATCACAAATAGATCTTGAGCGCAAATCACATTTGACGCTCTCGTAATGGTAATTTATTAAGATTAAGACTTAGCTTATATCGAGTCTTGATTTATTCTGTAGTTGCAATGTTATCTAGTTATTCACTTTACTCGATAAGCTGAAATTTTGCACAGCCATCGGCCAGTGTTAGGTCGGTGGAAACGTGTAGACTGCAAACAACTCGAAGTGAGTTTTATTTGATTCACAGCTGTTTACTTATTAACTGCATAAGTGAATTCTGCAGTCTGAACTTTTCACATCAGCTGACTGAGAATTGAACTATTTTCTTAATCTGCCTAAGAGCGAGTAGTAAATACATGTACAAGTAAATCATATGCACTGCACATTTGCAGTGCAATTATCCTAGTAAAACAGTGATATTGAGAAACATCTGTCTGTTAATTTAACGTACACATGTAGCAAGCACCATCTGCTTACATGGCTGAAATGCAGCTCACCACAGATGAAAGATTAAAGCTCACATACGAGATGAGGGTGCCTCAGATCATTGAATTACTGGACATGTCAGAACAGACTCTTCAGAAGGTCAGAGCTCATAGAAGTAATAGGGACCATTAGATTGAGTGGACTATGAGTACAAGATTAAGAATGAGTACTATTTTCAAATTTCAAACCAGTGACGCTCCAAGAGATCTTGCTCTTCTTGTTGGTTTTAGGTTGAGAGGGTATCTCATGGGATGAGATGGGTACGTGATGTGATAATGTGGAGCCTGCAAACTAGAATTGAAAGTCATACTCATAGTCAATCTCGTACTTGTACTCAAAGCTTAAGTCCCCTATTATGCATAAAATTAATCATGGTGTTTATACACCGGTGTAACAGGTTGCTGTACGTAGTCCTGATTGGTTTTGGCTGTGTAAGAGTGACATTACACAGTCCAAAGTCAAGATATCAGGAATGAAATAAAATGATGATGTTGTTGTTACAGTCATGTATAGGGCAGGAAAAGAAAATTTGAAATCCACTTGTCCAGTGGGCTTGTAAATTTCAGATTTCACTTGCACTCACTTAAATGTTACTTGCCGAGGTGGCAGCTATTATGGCAATCAGAGGACAGACATGAACAAAGTATGGTTGGATTTTCAACTCAATGTCTTACTCATCTTGCAGTCTTAACTTTTGAAATATTCTCTGACTGGAAATAACCATTTTCAAGCTGACATTTTCATTCAAATTCACAAGACTACTGAGGCTACATGTAAATTTCACTTGCCTGCCAGGCCACTGAACTTCTATTTTCACTTGCCAAAAAGCAACGTTTACTTGCCCTGGGCAATCGGACCTGGATTTTTTCCTGCCCGGTTTGTAGACATTTTAGTTCATAGAACTTCAATTAAATTATTACCATAATATTTGAATTTTGATTTGCCCTTAAGGCTCACCTGGCTTAGAAGTGACCACACACTAAAAACTCTTGTCTCGTATTAATGTAGTTTTGGATTGTTTCATATAAAAAATGTTTGCTATATACTCATACAGTACGGTAGCTAGGGTGATGGGAGATATGGTGGTCTGTTGGTACAAAGTGTATATGTATTAGACTTAGGATTGATGGGTGTGGGTTTAAGGCAGGGTAAGGATCACTCCTGCATGGGTATAAGCCACTTAACTCTCGCAGTTCTTCTCCCAGCCAAGAAGCATATACATGTATATGTTGTGGTTTAATTTTAGTCCCCTGGTACAATCCGGTATTTCCCTTTGCTTTATATTCGTTATCATATTATTATTACCATACATTGGAACAACGGAAACTGTCAAATTGTACCAAGGGTATATGCTGTAGCACCACAGCATATGTTATACAATGTAGGTAGTGGCAAATATTATTGGTTTGGCAACCAACAAATTGTTATGGAATTGCATCTTATTATTAAAACCTACTACGAACCCTAGAATCCTATCCAGGGGGTATCATATTACTCCTGGTGGCTTTAAATTGTGGATACCATCATTGTAAAGATCTAGGTGTATGGGCTATAAGGACATGACTGTATAGACTCAGGTTTTATTATACTGATTTAATACTTTGTTGTTGTTATCCATGTAGTTCACCACCATGGATATAGAGGAGCCTTTGTTTCAACCATTTCCATCTGATATTGTGTTCCAAAATTTCAACCCATTTGAGACGTACCAGGTTCCTTTACAACTGAGGAATAATGACAAGGTAAATTCAGTTACATTTGTCTGTGATTGATTTCTCCCGTCCACTTTGTATTACAAAATTCATTTTCCTGTGGAATGCAGATGTCTCTTGCATTGAGTCATGTATGAGTCGTACATGTATGATTTACAAATCATTCAGAACTAAATAAATATTATTAACAATAACCAACATTATCGTTTATGCCTTTTCAGATTGCTCGTCTGGTCAAGGTGACTCAGACTGATTCTCCATACTTCAAGATCAGTAGTCCACATGATGTAGGACACAAAGTGGCTCCTGGAATGGACACCACCTTCATTATACAGTTTACTCCTGATGAGAAAAAGGTGTGTAATAAACCATTATTTAGCTAGACCTTAAGTTAAAACAGCTGTTCAAAGAACAGAATTCTAACATATAAATTTTACTAAAAGTGAAAAGTCTTAGAATGATCATTTCTTAGTACTTCAAAGTGGTCATTCATCCAGGCAAAGGGACATGGAGTCTTAAGAAAAATGACTGAATTAGTGACTCTGGTTTCAATAATAGAAGCTAAAGTCATGTTTAGAGTAACAGTCATCTTGATTTGGAGTCAGGTCACATGAATCTGAAGAAGCCACCAGGTTGTGGAAACTCACTATTGTTACTGATGAACTTTATGTAAATGTATTGGGATACTGTTGCCTTGAAAACAATTTACTTCTTTCATTTTATTTTTCAGTTGCCTTTCTACAAATATATTTTTTTATTCAAATAACATAACTCATGTATAGATGTTTATAATTTCTCGCCATATAGGACTACACCCATGAACTCATTTGCATCACTGAAAGAGAAAAATTCCTAGTACCAGTTAAGGCAGTTGGAGCCAGGGCCATCCTTGATTTTCCTGATGAGATCAACTTTGGTACATGTCCAGTCAAGGTTAAACATTTTGATTGCTTTATTTTTGTTATATTGATATTAATATTATTGCTGCCAAGAAAATGTTTATATTTGGTTTTGTGAAATACGCGAGATACCATGCACATTCTCATGTGCTCAGACGAGAGTA